TCATTACTTTTAGTAACTGGATAGTTGCTACCACTCCCACACTCAGTTTTCTCTTCTGTTAAGGATAAGAACCACAATCCTTACCCTGCCTGCCCACAAGAATTGTTGTGAGGATTAAATTGATTGGTCTAACTGGCAGCGGGGAGCCAGATATGGGAAAAAAAGCCTTTGTGATGATGGTCATTTCATCACTGGTTTTCAACCAGGCCACCATTATTAAGGATGCAAAATGGATTGCAGCTTTCAAAGGTATGGTTTAGTTTGAGATCTTCTGTGATGCCTGCATTAGACAGTAAAAATAAAAAAAATAAATAAAAAAAAAGATGCTCTCAAGAAGTCCAAATTTTTCTAGTCTTTACTCACTAAAAAGTTAACTGTATTAGGAAAAAAAACAATTTTTTCAAAGCTTTTAATGAACTCATTTCTAGATGCTGTTGGATTGTCTGAAAAGAACTCTTCCTGGGGTTGTGGAATGCTTCTTGATTTCAACAGTTACATAAAGGCCCTTTGATTTTTAATTTTGATTTTTCAAGATGCTTTGCTTTTTGGTCCAGATCAATTCACTACATTATATTGCAAGGATTGTGCCCCTCTGCTCAAGGTGGTCTCCTAATTGTAAACTGGCTTAAGTATCCCAAACATCCTAAGTTGAAATTGTAAAAGTGAGTGATCTTATAATATATTGGCTTTGAGTTTGCCAAACTTCTCTTTGGTCTATAGACAACTCTTTCTGCCAATCCTCTTTCCCACATAAAGCCCTTTGCCCATGCTGATCTCTCTGCCTGGAAAACTCTCCCATGATTCTTTGCGAAGTTGACTCTTTTTCATACTTCAGCTCAAATGTTACCTTCCTAGAAGGGCCTCCTTGTTTCAGGATCACTTCCCTGACATAGTTCCTTTTTTATTTCCTTACAGCACTGATCACAATCTGCAATTTCCTTATTTATTTATTTATTTATTTATTTACTTCTTTGTCTATATCCCTCATTATAATATCAGCTCCTTGGCAGTTGGGTATTTGCCCACTGGTGTCATTATCTACCCCTAACACCCAACACAGTGCCTAGCACAGAGCACACAGTAACTATCTATTGAACAGATGAACTTGTCTGATAAGAACCACACCAATGTTGTAAGGCTGTGGTCATATACACTTCTCTTGAGGCAAGAGCCTATTGTAAAGACTATCCAGGGCTTGGCCTGTATTGCTTACAGTGTCCACATTTCTCTCAGGGACCCAAGGGAACCCAAATGGCAACAGAAGACTGCTGACTTCCTTCTGCCCCATCCTAATGGGGCTGCTCCAATGATGCCACAGGACAGAAATCTCTAGTCTTTTTCATTCTGTGACAGTCTTTTAAACAGCGAAGTTTTTCATGACCTGATATGGTGGGGGCAGAGGGATGAAGGAAGGACGACTGAGCTGAGGGGCATCCCCTCCAACAAAATTAGTTTAGGGGCACTATTCACTTATATGTATTGCTCCTGTGGAAACCGTGTAGCAGAAGCTATAATTTGGACTCAGCTAAAGAAAAAAGAAAAGAATGGGGGAAGTAAAGGAGATAATAAGAAAACAGAAGAAAAAGAGAAGAGTAATAAGAAGAAAAGAGAGAAGAGGAGGACAGATGAAGAGGATGTGTGTGAGGAAAAAACACGAAACAGGCAGTGAAGGAGGAGGAGGAATCTATGTTCTGTTTGGCTCTGTAACTGGGGTAGCGACTGGCTTCTTCGTGAAAGGATGAATGGGTCAGGCGAGGGGGGTTCTCAGGAATGCCCTTGAAGGAGAGTCACTTATATTGCTGAGATTTATTGTGAGAGGCCCAACCAAGGCTATCTCAGGGATGACAATCCTGGGCGGATTCTCTATAGTAGTTTTGGAACCAGGAATGTTAACCTTTTCTTTAAATCATGATCGTGGAAGAAAAGAGGGGAGAGTATTACTGATCAGTCTAAGCTTTAGACTCCTCACTGAAGCCCCAGCCCTCACCCCAAGTCTCCCAATTACTAAACTAATAGCATACACTTAAATTCAGGACTTGCAGGCCAATCTTTTAAGAAAAATCTTTTTTCTCTTTGGTAATTGAAATATAAGCAGATTTTCAAAGCAGTGTAGGATAATTTTAATATATACCTACAAAAATTACTAAAATATGGTTATGGCAGTATATTCCCACTGTTTCACAAAAACTATAAACGTCCCTAACACGTGTAGGCCCAAGCAAAATCTCGTAGTTCTAAAGAAAAGAAAAAACTTTTGCCCTGGCTGGTGTGGCTCAGTGGACTGAACGCTGATCTGCAAACCAAAAGGTTGCCTGGTTCAAGTATTAATGTTTCTCTCTCTCTTTCTCCCTCCCTTCTTCTCTCTCTAAAAATAAATAAATAGAATCTTTAAAAAAAAACCCATATAATCCATTAATTATTACATACTTTAAAAAGAAAACTTTTAACACTCTTTTTTTCCTATGTACTTTTGCCCCTTTCTAAATGGTTACCAGTAAGTTTTTTGCCCTTAATATTATATTTAGGAAATATTTATTATAATATTTTGGAAATATAATGTTTAGTATTAGGAACGGAATATTATATCAAACATATTTATTCAATATTAACAATATTAAGATAACTTTGTCCCAAATTTTAAAATGTTAATCTTACAACCCATGAGTTTCCTAGTTCATACCAAAATGTCCCTGTAAGCTGTACCGAGAAATAAGAAATAGAGGAGGGTACAGTTTTATTGGCAGTTTTTGGGACATTGTGCAGACTCCTTAAAAATTTCTTTGTTTGTATTTTCTCTTTTTCTACCTCTTTTTCTACAACCAGCTTCTCCTATAAGTATAGAACAGAGAGAAGAAAGGTATAGATGACTACAGGAAGGAGGCAGAAAGACAGGCAAGACCTTCAAGTTCAATGCCGCTACTGACATTGGCCGTCCTGGTTCTGCTTTACCAGAAAATTTGTTTCCTAAGACACTCCAAAAAGTGGTTGCCACATAAGCAATTATATTTCAGAATGGTAATGAGTCCACTAGCATGCTAATCATGCTGTTACTTGTCTAAAGTATTAAGGATTGCAATAAGGCAGAGTAACAACGATCTTTGATCTAATTTTCCTTTTTCTTTTTTTTTGACAAGTGTGTGAAGAAGTAATTAGGAAATGTGTCTTCACATGATACTGGGACTAAGGGCAGAAGTGAAGTGAATTTAGTTTTACTTTGTATATCTGGAAATGATGCATCGTCACCTTACTCTAAGAAACTTTAACCCCCAAAATATTGGGTAGAGTGATTTTTGCTTTCCTTGAAGATTTGGCCTGCCAGTGACCATTTGGTGATACTGTTTGATTCTGTCGTTAGGTCCCAGGCTTAAAAGTGAAAGGAACAGTACCTTCCCCAAAAAGTCATGTTGAAGAAATTGAAAATGGCTTTTACAGCTTTAAAAGCAGCTAAATGATGAAAGACAGAATAAGAGTTGGGCAACAGAGAGTTTTTAGTAGATACAACTTGTTCTCTGCAGGAAGCTCCTGAGGTGAAATGGGAAAGGCCTCATCACAAATTTGCCATTTTATTGGCCAGAACCCAATTTGGCTATTTTTCAGTGTTCTTTTTAAAGAACCTGTCTCCTACAATGAAGTACGTATTTGTTTTGTCTTTGTATATACCAGAGCATTTACAAAATGGTTATTTCTTTTAGACTTCTGTTTATGCAAATATGGTGGTCAAATCCATGAACAGGTTAAGCTTCTGACAAGAGAGAGAAAGGCACCCAAGCCAATGGGAACCCATGCTGGTGATGTACTTGCTCTAAAGTTCTGATTCATTGGCCGGCTAGGGTTTGTCATTCTATCCTCGGCGTCTGCAAACAGCGTGGGTCGGGTTTTCCGTAGTCTAGCTAGCTAAACTGGATTTTGGCCGCCTGCACGTGTAGTTTCAATTAGGTATAGCTGATCCCTAACTCTTCATAGAAGCAGCAGTTATATTTCTCATTATCCTCTAGATTTTGAAAACTCCTCCTTTCCGTTAACCTCTCTGGAGGTCGTTGGAGGTCCCCAGTGACAGGACCATGTGACTGCCTTACACGTGCAAACAAATACAGTGTGGGATCCCACGGGCTAGACAGAAAACCTGCCATTACCTCAGAGCATGTGCCCTGTACGTCCACGTGGGTGGCTGGTGGTAGAGTTCATGTGTCGCTGCCCTGCGGAACGCGAGGTGTGTGCCTGGGACACTTGCGTGGAGGGCTCCCCGGGGGCACTGGGGAAGAATGGCTCCAGAGCCGTGGAGCATGAGGTGGGGGTGTCTGGCAGCGGCCTGGAACGCGCGCATTCTAGCTACAGCAGCCAGGCGGCGAATAGGCCGCGACCGCGCCCGAGAGAGGTCGAAAGGGCTGGGTCGGTCCTCGGGGTTCTATGGACCGCGTCTCCTCGGGGAGCGGGTGTGTATTTGCAGGCAGGTGTTAGTGCCGGAGCGAGAGGCGTGTACGCCCTAGGGAGGGCTTCCGTGTCCCGGCACCGCAGACTTCCTGGGTTGGAGAGGCTGTCGATTTCTCACTGCTCTAATAGTCGCACACTCTGTCCAGCTCCGGTGCCCAGTTCCGATTTGGGATTAGGCTACTCCTTCCAACTTCAGCCTGCGGCCCTGCCCTTCGAGGAGAGAAAAGCTGGGTAGGGTAGTGGCGTCATCTACGGCTGCCCCTCCCCCGTCCGCAGGCCGGCCCTCGCCGCAGTTCCTGCCCAACGACATCCGGGTTTCTCCAGATGGCTCTGCCGCGCCGCAGCCGTAGCGGCGGCTGAGCCGGCGGGGCGAGGTGGGGCGGGGCGGGCAAGGAGTGGGGGAGGGGCGGGCACAGCTCCCCCGTGAGCGCGCCTGCGCGGGGACGCGCTTGAGGCGGCGGCGGCTCTAGGGGCGGGAGCGCGCGCGGGAGCGAGGGAGCAGTGGTCTCGGGGCGGCCCGGCCCGCAGCTTCGGGTGCTCGGGCGGCTGCAGCTCAGGAACGGGTGGTTGGGGAGGGGGGGTGGGGGGGGCTCCAGACAGGTGGGGCGCGATAGCGATGAATCTTCGCCTCTTCCTCAGAGACCCGCTCTCCGCCTCCCGCTCCAACGCCCGGATGATCTGAGCCGCGAGGGCACCGAGAGCCGGGGTCCCGGACACAGCCCGGTTCCTCCCCTCCTCTGCCCCCTCCCCTGCCCGACCTGGTCGGCAGCCGCCGTGGTGACCCCCTTCCCGCCCCCTCCCCGGCCGCCGTCGCCGCCGCCGCCTCGGCCGACCAGGGACCTGCCTGCCCGCGGCTGCTCCGGGTAAGCGCGAAGTCGGGCGGAGGGCGGGCGGGCGGGCGGCGCGGGCCTGCACGACGGCAGCGGCGACCAGGCCTGGGGCCTGGGGCCTGTAAACAAGCCGGGCGTCTGCCCGGGCGCTCCCGGGAGGAGACGCGACAACTCCACCCCCTGGCCCGGCCTCCTCCTCGGAGCCGGGCGGCGGGCAGCGAGGGGTTAACGCTCCGCGAGGGCGGTGGCAGGGAGGCGGGGGCGGGGTGTTTGTGGCGGCGGCCGGGAGAGGGGGCGCGACCCTCGGCCGGGTCGGGTGTTCTTAAGGCGACGCGGGTGAGGGACGTGGGCCGGCCTGACGCGGCCCGAGAGCAGCCCGCGGAACTTCTCACGAGCGGCGAGGGGGCGCCGGGAGCCCCCACCCGCCCGGCCGCCCTGGGCTCCAACCCCTGGGAGGGAGGCCCGGAGAAAGAAGGGGAGGGGCTTCCTTTTGGACCGGACTTGGCCTCGAAACACTAAATTCTGTAGCGTTTGCTTCAGGTTTTATAGGGGGCAGAGCTGAGAGTGAGGCTCCTTCAGAACTCAAGTCAGCGATGCCTCCGATTCATTCATTATTAAGGCATCGAACAAATCCATTGAATTAAATCACACTGATTTCTTCTCGTCTTTTTAACCGTGTAAATTGTATAAGTTCTTGATGTTAGCGTTCGGTTGAGGTACGGTTCTGTTTTGTTTGTAGGTTTAAACTATTTTCTGGCTGTGGAGAGCCCTATACCAAACGTAGTTTTAGATAGGTTTTGAAAATTTCGTCACCTGAGATATTTTTCCTTTTCCTCAATCACCGCATGGTACTTAAAAATCCACAGAGGTCATACTTCAGTTGTTCAAGCCAAGAAATCTATGCGCCACCCCGCACCCCAAACCTTAAGTTTTCTGCTAATCGGAATATTGAGCCGAATGCATTCTAAGGAGTGATTGGAAGAGTATCGGAGGTGTAAAAATCTATGAGAGATAGGTATTACTTTTCCACAGTAAGTGATTTTAACATTGGAAGAAATCAGAAATTTAGAAAACGGTTCTGAGGAATAAGCCTTAATCTTTTCAAATTTGCACATTGGGATTTTTAAACAGCCACTTTTTAGGCTCAAATAGCTACGAAGAGTCAAAATATTTATTTGAACAATATTCTACAGAGGCTTAGGGGTTACAGAGCCCTCAGAGTCCGGCAGGGCTTGCTCTCTGACTCCTTAACTGGAACAACCTAATTTTTTTATACATTTTATCTTTTTACGTGTTGAGGCCTTTGCTAAAGATTGTATTTCTGTAACTCTACAGATTAGAAAACTGCCAAGGAAGATTGTGACCGACTCCACTGCCTGTTTTCTAATCATACATGCTACCTTCATTATTTTAATATTTCCTTTGCCCATAAATTGAAGCACAGACATTCTTTGCCTGATGTTATGGTCCTGTTCTTATGTAGTGGGTTGACCAAAAAGTCTGTTTAGTTTTTCCATAAAACAAAAAACATTTTTTATTTTTACCAATAACTTTATTGATGTGGATTTTTTTTTTTTAGGATGTTGGCCATATCTCCCGCTATTGGCTTCTAGTGGTTAGAGGCCAGGGCTGCTGCTAAACATCTTCCAATGCATGAGACAGCCCCACAGCGAAGAATTATTTGGCCAAAAGTTACTTGTAGCTAGAAACTCCGCAAACCACTTTTGACACGGTTTGATCAATCACGGCACCTTCTCCATACGCTGCACAACTCTTTTTCAGTTGTGTTTTTACCTTGAAATAATAAAGCATGATAGACTGGAAAAGTTGCATATCTTCTTCCATCTTCAGTATTAAAATGGCTGCACAGAAATTCAATTTTGATAATATTTTTTTTAAATACATGCTGGTATGACAGCTGTCAAAATACAATCTAACAAAATTGTTTCAAATGAAGTTAAAGACAACTAAGCAGTACCACAGCCATTTTACAGGGAAAATTAAATAAGTTATTGGCCAACACAATGTAACTCATGTTATATCTGATTAAACATTCAGTCATGTAGACATGATTGCTTTTAACTTAATGAACTGTACTTGGAAGTTGCTTAAGACATTTTTGATTTGATGTCATTAAACATTTTTCACATCAGTGAAGTCATTTTGGGAGAGAGGTGTATTAAGACAGGCAACGTTAGGCCAGGTACCTTATATATTTGAGAAATAACATGGTTGAATGCTGTGGTCATCACAATTTTTTTTTTTAACGTGGCATAAGTATAAACGTGTGTGTATATATACATGTGTATTTTAACATGGATTGTATGTGTTTATATTTTAGTTTGAAGGGCTGATGACCATAATTACAGTATAAACTGTTGAAGCAAACACTGCACTAGGAGACAAGAATTGTTTAGTCATGGCTCTGCTCCAAAATGTCTGTGTCCATGACAAGCCCTTTAACCTTTTGAGTCTCAGCTTACAAATCAGTAAAGCCAAAAGGATAGATTATATTATCAAATGTTCTGTCCAGTTAGATTTTTTTATTGTCTTGTTCAATATGCTTTGAACAAATGCCTGGTATGTACTTTGATGTTTCAGCATTCTAAAGCTGATTTTCTTTTTAGGTTTTGTCTTATTTTCAAAAATTTTAAGTTGGTAATTGTTCTTTAGGAAAAATATTCCAGTAGGTAGCCTTTGTTGACTTTTCTATTAGGATTAGGAAGTCTAGAAAAAATCTGGGGAGGAAGAAGATGGAGATTGCACAGGAGACAAAGGGTAGTTGAAACTACAGGTTTGAATAATCATGTGGCCCTTGACAGTTTGATGTAAAGGGTATTACAAGAACACATTATGAAGCTTTTTCTGTCAGTTCTGGTTGGGTCTTGCTTATCTTGTTAATAAACCTTCATTTGAAAATTTGTTCCCTAATATCTAATTTCTTCCCCCAAAGAAATCTATAGCAACATCATGTTGTCACATGGTAAATATTGCTAAGCAGTTACTGAAAATCTGTAGTCTTTGAGTTCGTTCACATTCCAGCTAGACTGTTTATTATAGTGGCTAACAGTGTAGCTCATTCTCGTTTAACTATGAATGTTTATTTACTTAATAATTTAAAAGTAAGGACTGATATAACCGTATTTTGCCGTGTATAATGTGCACCCACATTTTTGGCCCAGATTTTCAGGAAAAAAATGTTCCATTTTAATTTTTAATTCAATTATTTATTTATTTATATTTAGATACTTGTTTTTTATATTATAAAGGAATTTTAGCTTTTTGAACATGTTATAGTACAAGACATTTATGTAACGGATAATTCCACAAGAAGAGATACAGGGTATTTTAGGTATTACCCATGTACAATGTGCATCCTTGTTTTTCCCTCAGAAATGTGGGCAAAAATGAGCATTATACACAGCCAAGTCCACAGGGAGCCTGTTATCCCTGGAATTCTTAGCCATGAGAACTGGATTAATTTCTTAAAGTGTAAGCCTGTGATCATGTAGAAATAATTAATTATAAGTTGATATTTTGGTGATCACCCCAAATGATTAACTTTTGCATGGGCACCAGACCCTGAATGTTACTCTCTTTTTTTCTCTCCCTCCCCCGCTCACAAGTATCACAATGTTTATTGACAGATGCGGGTATATGAAATTAGGGCATGTATGTGACTTGATAATGAATGTTGCTCTTGACTCCTTTCCATCCTTAATAGAATTAGAGGAAGGAGGCAGCCATGTAAGAAAGCTCAAGAGGAGTCCTATAAAGGTTAAGCAAGAAGATACAACAAGGTGTGGCCCTATAAAACACATGGATCTTGGGGCAGGGGGAAGGTGTTTTGAGGCATCTAGGTAAAAATTTGTATCTTCCTATATCTTCGGTAGTAAGTTTATGCCAGAATATGTTGTTTTCCATCTGAGATAATATTGGTGACAAAATTTTAACAATTCAATTTCTTCATTTATTATTTCACTCTTAGCCTTGATGTATAAATTCTCTGAATTTCCACCCAGATCTTTATATGAAAGGAGTTTGGGTTAAGTATATGAAAGTCAAAAGATTGATTATATTAATTTTTTCTTTCTGTGTCTAATGTACTCCATATTACTCAAGAAACAATTTTATATTTTATTATGAGTCTCCAGGGTATATTCCTTGATGATTTTGACCTTTGTATGTCCTAGCCATCTATGTTCTACCTAAATAATCTCTTCACCCAGCTTTTGTTTTGTTACAAGCTGAAGCTAGTAAGGAGGAGCTAGAGAAAATAGATAGTTAAAAGAAAGGTGAGCTTCAGTATACCTTTATCTTAAAATGTTTTAGACTTTGGAGTTTTTGTGAGAAACTGAGGGAAAGGTACTGGATATTAGTGTATATTAATAAAGTAGACTTGATACTGTGTTTATAAAATTAGAAATATTTTAAACATTCCTTCAGTAAAATGTGCAATAAAGGAGGGAGCTTGAGTTTTTATAATTATTAATATGTTTGTTTGGAATCCATTGACCAAATTAATGTAGCATTCATATTTAGGATCCAGTTTGAAAGTCATTAGAGTTTCTGTGGCTAGTATGATTTGAATTAAAATCCTATGAGACCAAACTACTTTTACATCAGAAGAAAGTGAATAATAAAAGCCATAATTTATTACCATTTATTTGTGTCAGGCTGTAATTTTCACCACAACCCTGTAAAATATATGATGTTATCTCTTTCACAGATGAAGAAATATAGGCTCAGAGGATCAAAGTTACATGCCAAAATCTGATTTAAAATTATTATCAGATATAAAATTATTTCTAAAATATTTCTGAGTGGATTTTCCCCAATTAGATGATCCTTCTTGTTCCTACCAGTCAAAATTTGAAAAGCTGAAAGTTAATACTTCTGATCCAGATTCCTAGAATTAAGAGTATAAATTTAATTAAGCCAATGCAAGGTTAAAACATTCAGAAAAGATTTAAGAAGTTAAGTTCATTTCTTCTCAAAGTTTCAGAAATCAACAGAGCTAATTTTTTGTCTTT